AATATAAAACGAAGGGGGAAAAAATTGAAACCAACAAAATTTGACAAGCCAGAGAGAATGAACACACGGGAAATAAACAGCAGAAAGAAAAGAAAATGACCGCTATATAAACTTCAGGCCCATCATTCCCACGCTAGCCCCCTGCCTCCTTCCCACCCGAGGCCAATCAGAGCAAGGTGACGGGCGTGAGCGAGGGGAGGAGGAGGTCGACGCAGTTGAGCCACAGATTGGCACAAGGGGGGTGGTACGAGTGGCCTCCATAGGTGAGTTTGCTCCCACCCCCCGACAGGCAGACCCCGCACACTTCGCTCTCGCTCATCTGGTTGTCCTTCTCACTGCCCTCCATCTGTGAGTTGCAACAGAGTGAAGTCAAGTGCGAATAATGTTTTCATACCATATCTTACTTTTCCTAAATACTAGAAATTTACTGGCATAGAAGTCTGTGTATTCAATATAGATATATCTAGTTCTTCTTGATTGCTAAAAATTAATAGGGAAAAAAAATAAAGATATCCCAAAAACATATACATAAATCATCAAAATGACATAATTCTCACAGACCTTTACCAAAATACTATAAACAGAACAGACCCATCCACACAAAGTAATCACCAACCCCCCCCCCAACATGACGGACAACATGACTCTCATAACTGACCTTGGGTATGCTGACGTCCACCGACCCCTTGACCTCCTCCCATAGACTCTTGGCTTGGGTCAGTAGCTCGTCTACCTTTGTGCTAGTTGTGACCTGTTGGCTGGAGGAGGTAATCCGCTCACACACGAACCACACCTCTTGAAGGTCTTTTAGGGGGTGGGGATGGTGGTTGGCATGGTAGTAGTGGTGGTGGTGATGGTGGTTGGGGTTTGAAAGAAAAAGATGTATTACTTGCCTTGAATTTCTTTTGAAGTCCTTGAGGTGAAATTCAATCCTCAGACATTACAGTCTCATTCTCAATGTTAACCAAATACCAATATCTTTTAAAGTACATTTCTCATTTTCCTCAAAAACATGCAAGCAAAGTCTCACAAACTAAATAACAGAATAATATATGAGTAAGAAAATAATACATATAAACAAAAATTATCATAAATGAGATTAAATAGTAAAATAAACAAATCAATAAAATCATCAAAAGAATCAAAAAAATAAAACTATAAAAAATGACATAACTATAACAAAATTGAAATTCACATAAACAGCAAGTAAAAGAACATAATACACCCAAATACCAACCCAAACTCAAGAGGAAAAACTTACTGGATAAATAATCCTGCATCTGACTGGTTGCCAAGACCTGGGATTTGAGCTTCGGGTCAGACAGGTTGGTAAGGATTTCCCTTGCCTGCTCCATGAGCCTTATGCTTCCCTCCAGGCACCGCTGCCACGACCCAGTGTGTGCTTCGTCATACGAGTTCTGCTCGGCCGGAGAGAGATTAAGGCGTGAGGTTTTACTTAATCATGGAAGGAATTTTGCCATTGGAATTCTATAGGGATGATCCTTCTACTTTGCTTAGGAGAGAGGAACACAAGCATGCCTGTAAGACTGGAGAGCTTTTGCTTGATGGAAAAAAGGCAAGCATGCTGTTATATTTGACCATGTAAATGCTGCTTGAGACTGCAAAAATGCAATAGAAAGTTTTTACTTCATCTATCTGAAATTTCCCCTGGAATTTTCCCACATGGAGTATGAATATTAGAATGCATGGTGTATTCTGCATTACTCAAGTAAATGAGAGAATCTTTTCATTACTTATATTATGTTCATTATTATCAATATATAGACAAATACAACCATTGGCACAAAAAACAATCCATTCACACTGCTAAAGTCAGAGAGAGAATATATGTAGTAATTTACAGCAACAAGAACCAAAATATCACTTAAAACTCAAGCCACATACACAGACCATTCAAATGAAACAGGATAAAAAAAAAAGAGATTCAACTAAACTCTACATTCAGAAGCTCTTTATACCCGAAAGCTCACTCACCTTGCTTGCTTCCTCCCTTATGATGCTATACTTGTCCACCAGCCCACTGCCAAAGGAGTCCAGGACATTGTTTGTGGCAGCAGAGGGACTCGTGGCACCATTTCCGAGGGCGTTCCCTAGGGGGAAGTCTGAATGTTGGTGGAAAATTTATAGAAAATATCTATTGCCCTTCAAGATGTATTTTTTTATCAATTAATCAATCACACTCTCACACTCACACTCACACTCAACACTCAACACTCAACACTCAACACTCAACACTCAACACTCAACACTCAACACTCAACACTCAACACTTAACACTTAACACTTAACACAACACTCTCACTCTCACTCTAACTCTCTCTCTCTCTGTTTTCAATCAATATTCCTCAAAATATATGATATTTGTTTCTGTTCCTTTTAGTATATGCAAATTCAAAGCAAAAATTAAAATACTTCAAATTATAACCTTAAAACTGTGTACCAAACCTCACCTAATCCTTATAGTAATTACAGTTCGTAAATAAACTTTCTTTTTATTACCATCATATATGAAGTTGGAAAATTAAAATCAAATAGAGTGTTAATAGCAGCCAAATAAAATACCACAAAAGAGAGAGACACACACACAGAGTTAACAATAATAATAATAATTTTAAAAATCTAACTTACTCGAACTACTGGTCGAGTTCACATCCTGAGCTATCCCAGAGTCCAGGGTGAGGCTGCGCAGTTGGTCCTCCACACAAGTCTCGTTCCTGCCAAGATAAACATTTTAATAGACTTGTCTGGATATCATCATCAATCATCCATCATCATCATCATCATCATCATCATCATCATCATCATCATCATCATCATCATCATCATCATCATCATCATCATCATCATCATCATCATCATCATCATCAACACTATCACTACCAGCACTAAATCACATGACCCTCCCCTGCACTGACCTTGCCTGAGAGAACAAATCAGGTGACTGCCCTGACCCTGGAAACTCGGACTGGAGACCAACGGTCATCTCCAAGCCTGGTAGCTCCAAACTGTAAAACAATCAATGAATAAGAAAAAGATTGCTACAGGGAATTCAATAAAATTGGTACCAGTTACATGCATGGCTTGACAAGGAACCAATTACTATTACTACCCAATCTCACTTGCTAACCTCATGCTTAAATTTTAGTGAAATGAGTATTTCATTTACTATTAAAACTGTCATTAACATTACTATTATTATTATCATCATCATTATTACTCTCATGCTATTAACAATAGTTACACATTTCTTCTTTTTGAAAACTCAGAATGAATATGTGAGGACTACAACCACACACACACATACATATAATATAATATATATATATATAAAAGAAAATAAACACAAGAAATGGATGTAAAATACCTGGCAACAGACTGAGTTTCTCCCAAGGCCTCGGTAAGTCGTGGGAAGGAATGGTTGGCAGAGAGCCCTTCTACATCGCCAATCCCTGCATCAGGCCCCATAAAGTCACCAAAATCTTCGTCTTCTTCGTCGGCAGTACATACCTTTATCATTTGGTTATATATTGAGAAAATATGAAATAAAAGTTATGGATCATATGTTTAAACAATATATCAACACTTACTTTTTTAAAACATAGTTATTGATTCAATGTAAAGTTAACCATACATTTAAAAAATCAATAAATCATAAGTTTTGATATCCCAAGGGCCTAATCAATTAACATTACTCTCCTTTAGATAAGTGATTTTGCATTTAATCACAAGTTGAAAGTTTTCTCAAAGAATTCTTTATCTAAAGTTTTCTTCAGGAATCCTTTTTTTTTAAATCTACCTAAATTTACACCATGAGCCTTTAAAAGTCAGATACTAATCAAAAGGTAATTGGACAATCAAATCATTATCACATAACTCACGTTCAGCTGCAGTGGTTTTGAGCCAAAGTCAGCCATGGCTTTCCCTCTGGAGGCAGGAGCTTCTTCAAATTCCCCAAAGGGATCACTCCAGTTACTGGCCTCCTTCAGCTTCTGCTCAGCTTCGACCCGCTTCATGGCTTCGTGGATATCAGCATAATTATCTGTCGGCTGCATTGATGCTGATGCAAAGACCCCAAAGTCTGCCTCAAAGTGGTTATCTTCTCCTTCTTCTTCTTTTCTTCTCCTTTTTCTCTTTCTTCTCCTTTTTCTCTTTCTTCTCCTTTTTCTCTTTCTTCTCCTTCTTCTCCTTTTTCTCTTTCTTCTCCTTCTTCTCCTTTTCTCTTTCTTCTCCTTTTTCTCTTTCTTCTCCTTCTTCTCCTTCTCCTTCTCCTTCTCCTTCTCCTTCTTCTTCTTTTCTTCTCCTTTTTCTCTTTCTTCTCCTTTTTCTCTTTCTTCTCCTTCTTCTCTTTCTTCTCCTTTTTCTCTTTCTTCTCCTTCTTCTCCTTTTTCTCTTTCTTCTCCTTTTTCTCTTTCTTCTCCTTTTTCTCCTTCTTCTCTTTCTTCTCTTTCTTCTCCTTCTTCTTCTCCTTCTTCTCTTTCTTCTCCTCCTTCTTCTCCTTTTTCTCTTTCTTCTCCTTCTTCTCCTTTTCTCTTCTTCTCCTTCTTCTCCTTCTCCTTCTCCTTCTCCTTCTCCTTCTCCTTCTCCTTCTCCTTCTTCTTCTTTTCTTCTCCTTTTTCTCTTTCTTCTCCTTCTCCTCCTCTTCTCTTCTTCTCCTTCTTCTCTTTCTTCTCCTTCTTCTCTTTCTTCTCCTTTTTCTCTTTCTTCTCCTTTTTCTCTTTCTTCTCCTTCTTCTCCTTTTCTCTTCTTCTCCTTCTTCTCTTTCTTCTCCTTCTTCTTTTTTTTCTCCTTCTTCTCTTTCTTCTCCTTTTTCTCTTTCTTCTCCTTCTTCTCTTTCTTCTCCTTCTTCTCCTTCTTCTCTTTCTTCTCTTTCTTCTCCTTCTTCTCCTTTTTCTCTTTCTTCTCCTTTTTCTCTTTCTTCTCCTTCTTCTCCTTTTCTCTTTCTTCTCCTTTTTCTCTTTCTTCTCCTTCTTCTCTTTCTTCTCCTTTTTCTCTTTCTTCTCCTTCTTCTCCTTTTTCTCTTTCTTCTCTTTCTTCTCCTTTTTCTCTTTCTTCTCCTTCTTCTCCTTTTCTCTTTCTTCGCCTTCTTCTCTTTCTTCTCCTTCTTCACTTACTTCTCTTTTTTCTCCTTCTTCTCCTTTTTCTCTTTCTTCTCTTTCTTCTCCTTTTTCTCTTTCTTCTCCTTCTTCTCCTTTTTCTCTTTCTTCTCCTTCTTCTCTTTCTTCTCTTTCTTCTCCTTCTTCTCTTTCTTCTCCTTCTTCTCCTTTTTCTCTTTCTTCTCCTTCTTCTCCTTTTTCTCTTTCTTCTCCTTCTTCTCCTTTTCTCTTCTTCTCCTTCTTCTCCTTTTTCTCTTTCTTCTCCTTCTTCTCCTTTTCTCTTCTTCTCCTTCTTCTCCTTTTCTCTTCTTCTCCTTCTTCTCCTTTTTCTCTTTCTTCTCCTTCTTCTCTTTCTTCTCCTTCTTCTCCTTTTCGTCTTCTTCTTCTTCTTCTCCTTTTTCTCTTTCTTCTCCGTCTTCTTCTTTTCTTCTCCTTTTCTCTTCTTCTCTTCTTCTCTTCTTCTCTTCTTCTCTTCTTCTCTTTCTTCTCCTTTTTCTCTTTCTTCTCCTTTTTCTCTTTCTTCTCCTTCTTCTCCTTTTCTCTTCTTCTCCTTCTTCTCCTTCTCCTTCTCCTTCTTCTTCTTTTCTTCTCCTTTTCTCTTTCTTCTCCTTCTTCTCCTTTTCTCTTTTTCTCTTTTTCTCTTCTTCTCTTCTTCTCTTCTTCTCTTCTTCTCTTCTTCTCTTCTTCTCTTCTTCTCTTCTTCTCTTCTTCTCTTCTTCTCTTCTTCTCTTCTTCTCTTCTTCTCTTCTTCTCTTCTTCTCTTCTTCTCTTCTTCTCTTCTTCTCTTCTTCTCTTCTTCTCTTCTTCTCTTCTTCTCTTCTTCTCTTCTTCTCTTCTTCTCTTCTTCTCTTCTTCTCTTCTTCTCTTCTTCTCTTCTTCTCTTCTTCTCTTCTTCTCTTCTTCTCTTCTTCTCTTCTTCTCTTCTTCTCTTCTTCTCTTCTTCTCTTCTTCTCTTCTTCTCTTCTTCTCTTCTTCTCTTCTTCTCTTCTTCTCTTCTTCTCTTCTTCTCTTCTTCTCTTCTTCTCTTCTTCTCTTCTTCTCTTCTTCTCTTCTTCTCTTCTTCTCTTCTTCTCTTCTTCTCTTTCTTCTCCTTTTTCTCTTTCTTCTCCTTTTTCTCTTTCTTCTCCTTCTTCTCCTTTTCTCTTCTTCTCTTCTTCTCTTCTTCTCTTCTTCTCTTCTTCTCTTCTTCTCTTCTTCTCCTCTTCTCCTCTTCTCCTCTTCTCCTCTTCTCTTTCTTCTCCTTCTTCTCTTTCTTCTCTTTCTTCTCCTTCTTCTCCTTCTCCTTCTCCTTCTCCTTCTCCTTCTCCTTCTCCTTCTTCTTCTTTTCTTCTCCTTTTTCTCTTTCTTCTCTTTCTTCTCCTTTTTCTCTTTCTTCTCCTTTTTCTCTTTCTTCTCCTTCTTCTCCTTTTTCTCTTTCTTCTCCTTTTTCTCTTTCTTCTCCTTCTTCTCCTTCTCCTTCTCCTTCTCCTTCTCCTTCTCCTTCTCCTTCTCCTTCTCCTTCTCCTTCTCCTTCTCCTTCTCCTTCTTCTTCTTTTCTTCTCCTTTTTCTCTTTCTTCTCCTTCTTCTCCTTTTTCTCTTTCTTCTCTTTCTTCTCCTTTTTCTCTTTCTTGTCCTTCTCTTTCTCTTTCTCTTTCTTTTCCTCCTTCTTCTTTTTCTTCTTTTTCTCCGTCTCCTTCTCCTTCTCCTTCTCCTTCTTCTTCTCCTTTTTCTCTTTCTTCTCCTTCTTCTCCTTCTTCTCTTTCTTCTCCTCCTCCTTCTCCTCCTCATTCTTCTCCTTCTTCTCCTTTTTCTCTTTCTTCTCCTTCTTCTCCTTCTTCCCCTTCTTCTCCTTCTTCTCCTTTTTCTCTTTCTTCTCCTTTTTCTCCTTCTTCTCTTTCTCCTCCTCCTTCTTCTCCTTTTTCTCCTTTTCCTCCTTCTTCTCCTTCTCCTAATTTCCTTTTATTTTGCCACATTTTCCATGTTCCCCAACTCTTAGTCCCAACTCTTTTTTCACCATCTTATTCATTATCTTTTTTCAAGACTGATAACCCTTGCAAAAATGAAAGCCAACATCAAAACCACAAACTGTACATCTACATCATGAGGATAACTTCAGGTAATTGGTTATGTATTTTTTTTGGAAGTTTTACTTAAGGAAAAAAAAGCATATCATATATAAAATAATAAAAAGAATATATACTTTCTTCTGCCATTGGAAAATGGTATTTATGTTCTTAATTTCTATAAAACCATTTTCAAGGTCAAATATCAAAATCTATTTCTCTATTTTTGTGAATTGTAACATTTAGAAAGAAAAAAGTGTTTTCTGAGAACTTTTACAGTACACTTTATCTTCTAAGGATAAGGAGAAAAAAATGCATGACATGACACCCTTACATCAAAAAT